CACAAAACATTTTTGTTGTGCCTGTAGCAAAAAACAACATACCCGACTGTGTGTGTATGAGAGACAGAGGACAAGATGGCTGGAGGTAGAGGATGTATTCTCTCTTTGCTCTCGAGACCTTAACTACTGTACATAGCAAAAGAAACCACAACAAAAACACAGAATCCCACCAGGCTAAAGGCAGAAACCAGGCAGTGGGAAACCTTTAGGTATGAGCTTTTTCCACCTCCACCAACACCAGATAAAGTCAAAACAACTCCCATCAGAGACAGCTTGCGCGTCACTGACACCTCGAATATCGGCGGTGCCACTTTTTGATCTTTTAATTCATCCCACCTCTTCCTTCTCATGTGCTGAGTCACGGAGCCGCTCAGTCAGAACAAACCACAAAGCTCATCCTTTCATCTCCCCATTACCTTTGTACCCTGCTCAGCATCACTCCCTTTCTGGACTTCACTAAACCTGTGCTGACCTTCACATGTTAAAAAAGAACTCCCATGCCAGCCACACTCTGTCCTCTGCGTGATGTGTCCTTTTACTTTACTTTCAAGTCTGCTTTCAAAGGGGCAAGCTGCTTACTGGATAAGCTCTTTCTTCTTCACTGATCACAAAATAAAAAAGGACTGATGACCCATTTTCTACCACAGTCTTTGATTGCAAAATAGAGGTTCTGTTGGACCCTCATGACTTCTGGGATTTTTTTTGTTTTTTAGCATAACGCCTAATCAGACTATAAATGCCTGGTGTAAATACCACAATTAAAGTAAAATGGACCATAATGCGGTGCATTCATTTATTCACAAACTCATCATCATGAGTGAGATACCAATCCCTTCTTTCTCTATAGTGTGTTTATAATAAATGATAGAGTCTCAGACATCTATTTAGTCAAAACCATAAGCTGATTTCATTGTGAAGCCAAAATAAAACCCAGGTCTTCCTACTAATATCATCTGAAGTGAAGCAAATAAGCCAACAGCAAAACCAACTTACTGCTTCAATAATGTCTCTGTATTTTTACCTTTAATTTCCTCCAGAGCAGCAGACTGCAAGAGAGGACTTAAAGAAAAGATGCCACAGGGAAAGTATCTGATTCCATGCGGCTGGCCTGATAAAACAAAGTCAGTCATAAATCTAATTATATAGACACCATTGCTTTTAGATCCGGAGCGCACACTCTCTGCCTTTCTCCTTCACTCTCCGTATCTCTCATTAGCATTACAACGTGCATTCTCTCTAAATCTGTACTGGACTCATCAGTAGGATGAAAGGTAATACACTGACAAAGTACAGCTAAATCAAAGAGCTGATTTTTTGACAAAACAATTTTTTCCTACAATTAAAATGTAACTGCTTTAGAAGTACAGAAACCTAAATGACGCTATATTAAAACATGGCCATTAATTTGTGATACAGGCTAATCCCTGGGAAGCTGAAGCCTGTTATACAACATGAAGATTTAAAAAAAAAAAAAAAAAAGGGCACCATTCCTAAAAAAAAAGGGCCACATTCCTGGTACCTGCTAAAGTGAAAACTACTCAAACAGTAGGGGAAGCTCATGCACACACACAGACACAGATTTAAGAGGAATTACAATTCATCAAGCAGAGGAAGATATAATGCATTTATCTTATTTGACTTTTCAACAGGCAAGAGACACTGCTGTACAGTACTATTTGAACCTGTCTGTTCAGCTGCTGTGAAAGATGAGCTGTTCTGTACCTGGGAAGTGCTTTTTTTACAGTGACTGGACAAACTGTGCCAATAGAGTCAGTAGACCACTTGTGAATCTATGCTATTGAGAAATGGTGCATTGGATGCTGAACAGAGCCATTCTCCTTTCCTTTCAGTAAGTTTATGTTCAAGTTAAAGCAATGACTGTGATAGCCAACTTTATTATATAATAATAATTAAAAAAAATCTGTCCTAGATTGAAGATTCAAATGTTTGGAGACATGTAAGAGTATTTTAAAAGATTTTATTGTACAGAGAAAAGGTGAATATAGCTAAATATTTTGGGTATAGGGCAGCACAGCGGAGCGGTGATTAACGCTGTCGCCTCACATCATAAAGGTTCCAGGTCTGAACCCCCGGCCGACCCCAGGCCTTTCTGTGAGGAGTCTGCATGTTCTCCCTGTGCCTGCGTGGGTTCTCTCCTGGTACTGCAGCTTCCTCCCACAGTCCAAAGACATGCAGCTTTAGGTGACTCTAAACTTCCCCTAGGAGTGAGTGTGTGTGGTTGTTTGTCTACATGTCAGCCCTGCGATAGACTGGCAACCTGTCCAGGGTGGACCCCACCTCTCGCCCAATGTCAGCTGGGATAGACTCCAGCCCCCAGTGACGCTAATTAGGAATAAGCAGTATGGATGATGGATGGATTTTAGGAATATGGCTTTGAATAATTTAATAGACTACAAGATGGATATTAACATTTTGATTTTGTTTATGATCCACTTCTGGTTCAACTACAACCCAGCTTTTTTTTCCACAATCTTCCCCCCATTTTATCTCACTAGCTCCCTCCTCCTCTGTCCATCACAGTTTCATTCTTTAGCACTCTCAGCTCTATTTTGATCCTGTTTCCTTCCAACTCTTTATTTTTTGTCTCCGTCGTTATACCTGACGTTTGGCTCAGCAGTCTGCCTTACACCAAGACAAACATTATGACCTCACTTCACTGCAATGCTCCAGAGGCACGGAGACAGATGACAGAAAGAAGAACAGGATAACAGGAGGAGAAAGGCTGAACAATTACTATAAGAAAAAAAGACAATGGGGTGAAAATGAAACACATTCATAGAGTATTTCACGCCTTCAAACTACAGACTATGACTGAGAAAATTGGATGAGGGAGGAGACTTTCTTCCTTACTTTCTCATAACTTGTCTGTGCTCCATTTTAGCTTGGCATAATTGTTAATGCATTCAGTCCAAATTACACAGACAGGGCCTACCAAAACTGTAGGGCACTGCTCAAACAAAACAGTGTGTTGGCAAAACTGTGGGCTTCAAATACTGCCTAGAACAAGGCACTGACATATTCCAGACAAAACATCATGCGCATACACAAAAAGGAGAAAAGGGAAATTAGTTTATACTACACACGTATGCAGGTGAGGCACAAATATGCATGCACTCAACACAATGGAGTGCGTACACACGCCAGCCAGTTATGCTGGATATTATCAAACACTTCAGTAACAACAACAACTTCCCCTGTCCCTAAAGCCGTTTCCTGCCTTGTGAGGTCACTGGCCAGCTACGGCTATTCCCACTACGGGGAAAGGGGATAAATCAAATAACAACTTATGAAGAAATACACAGTGACAAATCACAAACCCCACTCCTCATTTGACCACCATACCACCACAGAGTAATTCCAAGGATGCAAGGTGGTTACTGCAGTAACATAATGAAAGTACTGAGCTCTGACAGTATGGTACTCCCTGTGTTGTTTTTACTTTCTCATGTCTATTCAGAGTCACATCAGTGACTGTACAGTATCGCTCAGCTCAAGCAATGACCTCCTGGAGAGGCAACTGTGTGCATCTGTGCTAGCAGCTCTCCCATAAAAGGTACTGTAGGCGAATATTCCACAGAGAGGAACACTGAGTACACATGGAAACATAGACGGATTACTGAATGGTCCTACCAGGGCCCAGGAGACCAGGGGCTTCTGGTCCTCACCTGCAAATGATCAATATGAGGCACAAAGCGACCACAAAGAGATGTAAACCATCTACAACGTGCTTTTTAAAAAATGCCTTCAAAGAGATGCAAAACAATCACAAATGAAAAGGTTGTGTGGTTCGTGGTCATTTTCTGTCTCTCAGTCTTGCTCCTATAAACATCTGTATCAAACTAAAAACATCCTCTGATGGAGGAGTGGACATCTTTTAGGTGTCTATGCCCAGGGGTCCATTGTGTCGTAAGTTGTCCACACAGACAGATATTTACTGCTCTACACTTAATAAGCGGCTACTGTTAACAAACTCTATAAGATGGGTTTTTTCCCCCCATCAATTTAAATTCATTATATTCTAAGTGAAGTTATTGCTTATTCTACCAAGCAGTTGCCAATTAAACATATTAACTGAGGGCCCGTTTATCGTTCTGCACACTTAATTATCATGATACTGATTATTAGTGACAGCCCTGCCAGTAAACCTTAGTATTGCAATTACAAGTCAGAAAAGGTTTCCCACTGTTTAGACACTACTGAGTAAATGCAGCATCGCAGACACGTCTACATCCAAACACACGCGCAGTGTTACGGTGAACTATTTATTACCAAACCTATTTATTATATCTCCCTCTCTATGACCCTGTAATTCTGGCACAGAGACAAATGATACTGGATGAAACAAATACATGAAAACAGACACACAGAGAGTGCCTAGGCCCACTCCTTAAGGCTCTTTGTCTGAGGTTTGTTTAATCAAAGTAATAACACCCTCTGATGTTTGTTTAACAGTGCTCAGCCTGTAATGGCTTCTGTGTTGTAATACTGCTCCCAAATACACTCTGAAACTAACCATACGAGTTCTGATTCACAACACTTCATAAAAAGTACAAACACACAGTGTAGATGTGAAACCTGACCAGCAAGACAAATAGGCGAACATACAACAGTTGGAGCTGTTTTAAGTCAACCGCTATTCCCATATATGTTCCATTATTACACTAAAATCCATTCTCACAATATTTCATACATCAGAAAAAGCAAGGCCAATTAGAAATCACTCACACCCCATTTCTTTCTCACTCATATAAAAAGATTAAATGAGTGAAACACTAGCAGGCAAATTCAAAATGCACGTTTGTTTCCATGACACAGTAACACATAAGAGTTTAGTGAAGCAGATGAACATTTTGACGCTGGATCATCAGAACCCAAAAACACCATGAACTGAGCATTGACCACACCAGCAAAAACAGCCTTACACACAATCAAACATACAGTAGGCTCTGAAAATGTTTTAAAAAAAAATCTCAACTCACCACTCTAGGCTTGGTCCTCTGTGGACTAGATGTAAATGCAGAGTCCACTGTGCTCTTTTTCTGTGGTCCAGCTTCTGTAATTCCACTGGTGCTGGCCTCAGCGGGCCCCTCTGAAGCCAACACTGGACCTTCAGCTCCATCTCTGGGCACTGGAAGAGTCCCTGGGCCCCGAGTGTCCTTCTCAGCAGTGCTCAGTTCCAGAATATACTTCTGAGTCACATCCTCCAGAGATGGGGCCTCATCTCCTGGAGGCTTGGTAAAGGCTGGTGGTTCCACTTCCTTCACTGGCTGAAGTTGTGGAGGTGGGGAGATGGGTATAAAGGTGGCAGGTTCACTGGTGTGGCGGACATGTTTGGGTCTGGTTTTGGGTTTGGACTGCAGTGGGAGAGGAGGAAGAGGAGTGATGAGGTCAGTTTGATCGCTGTTGTCTTCCTGCCCTTCTGAATTCTGTTCTGAGGGCTCAAATGGTTCCTCGTGAGGAAAGAACTGAGCCAACCTGTTTGGACGCTTTCTGGAAGGCCGACGAACCATTCTGGGGGACAGGACCTCAGCTAGTTTGAGATCAAAGTCAAATTTTCTCTGCTCTTCTTCCTTTTCCTCTCCACCATAGTCTATTACATCATCATCTTCATCATTATGATTAGCAAAGTGGGGGCTGCATTCTGACTGGGAACGGGCCTTCTTGACTTTATTAGTACTGTTTGCATGGTGATGCCACTGTCTCGGGAGTGCGTGTTTAGGCTTCACTTCTGGCTCCCAGAGTTCTTCTCTCTGATCACTCAGGATTGGCTCACTGCTGGAAGGTGGGATCTGGCCAGAATGATCCAGCTCACTGATTGGCTGAGTGCTGCTGGACTGAGGGTCATTCTGGGAAAGTAAAAGGGGGTCGCTACGGCGACTAGGGTCACTAAATGACTTCTTCTTGGGAACTTTGCCATTGCCATGGTCATCTGTCATCAGCTTGTCCATTGCACCAGGTTCAGATACGATGCTCCTGATCACCCCACTGTAATCACGAACACCATCATCACGAAGCCCACCATCACTGTACACTGACAAGTCACTGGCCATGCTGCCCTTGTATTCTGACAAGGTAGCCACAGCAGAGGCCTCTGAAGCCCCTCCTCCTCCTCCCTTGACAGACAGAGATCCTAACAGGTTGCTGTCTACTGAGGAAAAATTGTTATTACCCTCTTCTGCCACAGAACAGCGCCGCTGAGGCATTGGGTCACTGAGAGAGCGGTAGACTGTGGACTCCCCATTTCCAGCAGCTGATAGTTTTGACTCAGCATTACTGCCATTGGAATCAGAGCCTGTGTTGTTATTAGCAGAAAGGGAAAACTTGCGCCTTCGACGGATAGCACTGGGAGTTGCAGGAGCTTCTAATTCTCCTCCTTCTGCGGTGGCAGCTGTCCCCTGCAATAATGCACTGCTGAGGTTGTTCACCTCACCGATAATGTTGACACCAGAGGTAATGCTCAAGTCCATGACAGTTCTCTCACTCTCAGTCACACTGGCAGGAAGAGGCAAAGAGGGAGGCTCGCTGACTTCACTCAGACAATTTGTACCACTCACACTGTGCTCTGTCATCTCTTCTCTTTCCTGTTTAAACCCTTCTGTGTCATGGAGAGCTGACTGCTTCCATACAGTGACAGGCTGCCCGAGCACATCCCTAGGTATTCGAGACCCCCGATTAACCCCTGCTGACCCCAGGAATGACCTCTTGGGGGGGTTACTGGGGCCTGTTTCTGGCTCTGTCACAATCCCTTCATCTGTTAAACTAGACTCAGGACCTGAGAGTTCATCCACAGAGCAGTCATGTAACACATTTTCCTCCAAGTCCTTTAGACAGGCTCCCTCCGTCTCTCTGCTCGGTCTCTTCGCCTTCTCCCTGTACTCTGTGCTCCTGTTGTTTAGCTTCTCCAGCTGCACACTTTGTCCATCCCTCTCACTCTGCTCCCTGTTCACTCTCTCCCTCTCATGTTTATCCCTGTCTTTTATGTTCTTAAACTCAGCCTCCTGGTCTGTCCTAGCCTCACCCTTACCACTCATTCTGGGTTTCTCCTTCTCGTCATTTGTTTTCTTGACCTGGAAATACCCATCCTCCAAATGATCACTAATTCTCCTTACACCTCCATCATCATCATCATCATCTTCCCTACTACTCATCTGGCAGATATCTTGAATGACCTGCCTAGCTTCCTGCACATATCTCTCCTGCAATGGAGTTGGCATTACTTTCCCATCATCATCATCATCATCATCAAATCCTCAATCCCTCATTCTTTGTCCTTTCCCAACCCTAAAATCACCCCCATCACTTTCTACTTCCCTGTCTGACACCGACACTCTCCCTCCATCGACATCAAGCTGCTGCTCAGAGGAGCTCCTCTTTGTGGGACCACCTGTCAAGTAACATCTAACACCTGTGGGTTTGTCTGAATAAGTGAAGGATTTTGCGCGCCGAAGGGTGGCAGTCAGGTCTTTCAGAGAAGGGCGACAACCAGAAGGTAGAAGGCTCCCGCCATGAGGTCCTGAGCTCATATGGTACACCATTGACCCCTCCATAGCCCGGGGCCTGTCTCCTACACTTGTTTTCCGCACCCTGAGCACTGACAAATCAGATTTCAGAAAGCTTAAGAGTGCCATCGTTTCTGAGGTGATATCAGGGTTGGACATAGATATTCGGTTTTTATCATTATCATCTACCCCATCCCCACCTGTTACCCTCCTTAAAGCATTGGTCTCACCACCCCTAGCCCCCACAGACACCCCACCTTCTCTGGCAAATACACTAGGAGAAGGGGTGACTGAGGGAACAACCCTGTGATGCACCCGCAGAGGGGCACGGGAAAAGTTATCCCCATGGCCAAAGCTTGGCGAGCGGTACATGGTAAAGTTCCCATGGTAAGTTTTACTCAGCATGGATGAAGATGCAGCTCTGCTAGTGCTAGCTGCATGGTTTTTGACGGAGCTAGCTCGGTCCTCCTCCTTCAGTGTCTCAGTGCTGGAGTGTCTGCTGCTGCAACACGAACCACCAGAACTGGACACAAATGGGGGGATATTGACCTTCGACACTCGTGATACACCAGGAAGTGTTGTGGGTGTTGTACGTGAAGAGATGTGTTCCCAATGCTGCACCCTGGCTCTGTTACTGTGACTGCCAGGTTCTCTTGCCGAGTGGCTCCGTGATACAGTTGCCACAAATTCTCCTCCTGTTTTCTGCTGCCTCTCCATTGTCAAGGTCGTGTCACTGTCGCTGTCTTCTGATTCACCATCATGATCATCATAATCATCACAACCTGTTGCTAAAGCAGCTCCACTGACCTTCTTCTTCTTTCTCAGTGAGCGACGGCGCACTGCCTCTCTACTGTGGGAGCCTAAAGAACTAGGGCTGTCCTCCTCACTGCCTGAAGATCTGCCAGTAGTTTTAGCACCGCACCAGCCATTTTTACTGCGGGATAAATAGCTGCCTACTCGCTCTGTGGCGCCCCTTTCTCCTCCTCTGTAAGAGATGGAAGGAGCAGGGACCAAGGGAATACTCCAACCACCTCCTCTTCTTCTCCTAGTGTGCTCCTCCTCTTCGTCTCCAGAGCTAAACCTCCAGCGGGAACAGAGGGGAGAGACAACTTGTGCCGGGGCTCTTAATTCAGTGGAGGGAGCTACAGTAAAACAAGAGGTTATGGCTTTATCTGGAGCCACAGCAGAGGAGGAGGTGGCTGGTGCTCTGGAGGAGCTATGTGAGGAATGTAAACTATCCGGGGACAGCCCGACCCCCTGTCTATCCCTTCTCTCCCTCAGTGTCGGCTGCTGAAGAGAGGAGGAGCACGAGGAGGTGTCTAAACTCACCGATGGACTCCAAGAAGAAGTACCATGGGGTTGAAGGTCAGGATTGGGGTCAGATGTCGACCGTGTTGTGCTAGGGGTCTTACGGCCTGCCTCTGCCTCAGTGCTGGCACTATGAGATCTGTATGGAGATGGGTTAATCCTATGGTAATGAATATTTCTGCCAGAAACTGTGTTGTTTTTAGAACTTTGTGTCTCTATGTCTGCCTCCTCATCATTTGAGTACTGCTGGTGTGCAGTTTTGGAATACAAGTCCATACTGTAACAAAAGTTCTCTTTAGTAGTACAGCTTTCTCTGCTTTGTATGACAAATGCGTAGCTGGAGCACAAAGACAGGCTACCGGCTTCGTTAGCAGGGCTGCCAGGCGAGAGTTTGTCTTCTCTAACTGAGAGAAGAGCACTCTCAGCGGGGCTGTGCTCATGTAGACGGCCTCTGCTGGCTGTTTTTAAATTCTCAGTGTCAGTCTTGTGCTGCTGAGTAGCTTTGTTTGGCCTCTTGTCAAAGATTTGTCTAATTTTGGTGACACTGGGCCACTTGTCAGGATGAAGGGGGGGGAAGTCACTGTGGTGATAATTTCTGTGAGACTTACAGAGTGGAGGAACCCCTCTAATAGCAGCATCCTCCTCCTCATCTGTAGTCACAGTCTTTGAGTAATCAGAAGTACATGCATTGATTTGTGAATATTCTCTCTCACCCCAGTTGCTCCTCCTGTCGGTTGGTAAATCTGTAAAAATCCGCTTCTCGCTTTTCTTCTCTGAGTCCGAGCCCGACACAGAATCAGTGCCAGAGAGAAACTTCTGCACATTACTGTCTGTGAGAGACTCCGCAGTAATATCGTCTGTAACCTGGAAATATCCACCCCCGCTGTCCTCGTGAAAAGATTTACGAGACAGAGAGCCGTCTCTCCTGGAGCCCCTGGCCCGGGGAAGAGTGCTGCTCCCCCGCGTCACTGCTGCCCCGTCTCCCGGTGAGGCTGTGCGCGTCCTGACGCCGCTGTTGTTGCTGAACCTCTCAGTGAGCTGGCGGATGGATGGAGAAATGGAGGAGAGAGGAGTAGAAGAGCCTCTCTTTAGATCTGCGGTTGGGAGGCCGGCGGTAGTGGTGGCAGAGATTTTGGAAACTTTTCTTGACACACTGACGTTACGCGTCGCCAAGGGCTGTTCTGCTTTACTGGGCTCCGGGGGAAGGGCGACTGCAGCTGCTTCGAAATCCTCCGATTTGTGTTGCTGAGTTTCACTCCTATTGGCGCTGCAGGACCCAAACTTTTTGAAAGAAACCTTGCGATACACAGCCTTCCCCTCGCTTTCTGCCATTGTTCATGCACCTCTTTTGTTAGGTCCAAACATTCACCCTAACTCCACTGATACTACAGATCCATTCACCTTGGAGTTGTGGCCCATTTCCTCTCGCAGCCTTACGGCATGAAACTCGAGGAACAATCACTCTTTTAAACTTGATTGCTTGCAAAGCTTCAAACGGCGCCGTGACGAGGTTAGACAACAGATAAACTGTTCACATGGTTAAGTTGTTGCTCTGTTATCACAACTTACCTGGTG